TCTTTTTTTTTTTTTTTTTTTTTTTATAAAAAAAAAAAACTTTATTACAAGGATGTAAACCCATTTTTTTCGCTGATTCGAATTTAGAATTCGAGTTTTGCTATAGTAAAAAGCTCTCAGAAACAGTCACATTTAACTTTTTGTTACAGTAAAAAATTTTCACACAACATCACATCTTAATTTAAATTAAAAACTCGAATTAGCGAACTGAACGGACCTAAGCATCTCAAGTTCCAGCTAAAATAGAAACCCTTTTAAAAACTTATGGATAGTAAATAGAAAAACATTTTTAAAATGAATTTTTTTTATAAAATTTCAAAAATTCCATCTTCGTCCATGACTCCAGCAATAACAATGAGTCACTATCACCAGGCAGAGAGACTCTCAGTCGGCCGGAACAAATTTAGTTTCAATGAATTTGGTATTTTGTGGTTATATATGTTTACCTTATTCATCTTTCCTTTTTTAAGAAGTTAAGATTAGTTATATATTTGTAGAATCTGATATATATAAATATAGCGCACTGTTTTGATTTGTTATTAAGTTCTTAATCTAAACAACAAAGCTAAATTGGATCCCCTTTATCTATAAAAATTGTATTACACTTAATGATAACAATTTATAACTCTAGTTCTAAAAATAAATTCCAATTCTAAAAGAAATTGAGGGATTTTTTTTTTTTAGACTTTTAAGATCTACTTGGTTGCATTTTAATTTGTAGAATTTATATAGAAAATCAAAATAAGGGAGAGAATTATTTAAAAAAGTAATAATGAGGCTGAGGATATCCTTAAATATATCATTTATTCTACTTTTGAAAAAGAAAAAGTAAAAATACAACTACGACCAAGTAACACATAAATTTATAACCAGAGCAAAAAAAAGACATAAATTTATAATCATTCAAATATGGATTTACAATAATTATTTTAGAAAAACGTCCTCTAATGGGTGCGAAACGGCCCAGTGAAAGTCATTTCCATTAGATTCGGAGACAAAAGGACTGACGAGGAGGAGAGTAAGGAAAAAGAAGAAAGAAGAAAGAAGAAAGAAAATTTGCTGGGAAAACGAAGAAAAATGGGTTGGATTGGTGATACTGTGGACTCCGTCAAGTCCATTCAGATCCGACAGCTTCTCACTCAGGCCGTCAGTCTCGGTTCGTACTTCGTTTCCCTCTTAACCTTCTCTATTTGCTCTCTCCTCTTCTCTCTTTCCAATTCCCATGTAATATTCCGTTTGGTTCCCGAGAATCTCAGGATAGAGCTTTGCACACTGCCGATTGACTTTTCTTAGTTTGAGACATGAAAATGTGTTTTAACGAGACTTCTTTTGCTGTTCGCGGAATTCAATTGAGGGTTTAGGGTTTAATTGTATGAATAATGATTGAAAATAGACGGTTCTTTGCTGGTCTTTTGGTTGTGATTTTCTTGTTTATTTTGATAGATTAGGAGTGAAATATGTTATATCACCGGTTTTGTTTGATTATTCAGGCATGATTGTTACATCTGCGCTTATAATATGGAAGGCGTTGATGTGTATAACTGGCAGTGAATCACCTGTCGTGGTTGTTCTATCTGGAAGCATGGAACCAGGATTCAAGAGGGTAATGGTGATTTAAACTCCTGATTCTGTTGTCTCACAAAAAATTGAATAGTTCCCGCTGATGGGATCTCTCACAAAATTTAAATTAAGAATCAAAATCACTGACTCAAACGTGTGAACCAAATAGGCCATTAAGGTTTCTGTATATTTCATATAAGCCATATTGGCAAGTACTTAAATATTTGTGTCTGACATTCATAAATGTTGTTTCATTCATAAGATCAAGTTGAAAAAGAAATAATTGTTCCGTTAATCTTGATTTTGAGTACCATCTTTGACTAATTGGCATTAAATGTTGTAATGGGACTTTGTGAATGATTTAGGTGTCTTTTCCAATGAGTCAGATATTTTCTATGGTAGAAACCTTCATGGCTGAATGGTTCCCTTTGTTTAGAGTTTTTAATTTCGGGATTATTTGGTCCGAGGTTTTACTATGATAACATAATGTGTTGCCTATTGACGATTAGTTCTGGTATCGTTCATCATATGCAGGGGGACATTTTATTCTTGCACATGAGTAAAGATCCTATTCGTGCAGGGGAAATTGTTGTCTTCAACGTTGATGTAAGTGGCATCTTGAGGTTATTTTATTTGAATAAATCCGCTTATTGTATATTTAGCTTTGTATTTTGTTAATCTATTTTCTTGTTCCACTGCTCAATCCAATCTTTGCTTCTAACTTTTAATTTATGTTTCGCCATATTCTATGTGTTGTGTTCTTGATGGAAATTTCGTCATGTGTTTCTGATGCTGAAGTGAGAGTAAGAGATAAGAAGAGGTTAATAGAGAGTGGGAGAAGGGAAATTTAGAGAGAAGAGAAAACAATAGGCTGGAAGTGTGTGCATCAATCATCAAAGCATAAGTGAAACTTGGTCTATTTGTAGTTGGATAAGCCGTAATAATATGATGACATAACCTGATAATAAAGTAAACTTAAATAATTCCTAAATAATACTAATAGATAAACATAACCAATCTTGTTCCTTATCAGTTTCTTTGTGGTTACTGTCTACATTATGCACCAGTGAGGATTATGCTTTAATTGTAGATTTTTCACCTTTCTATTTGTATTAATTGCTCTCGTTGTGTGTGTTAATTTTTCCCAGGGCCGTGAAATTCCAATCGTGCATCGTGTCATTAAGGTAACACTAGTTGGGCAACGCACAACCCTTTTCATATTTGCTTTTATCCAAGCTTATTGTCCCGTTTTGTTAAACCATTTGATGGTCACTTCCTCTTCTCCACTTAATGTTGATGATTCAATTATATTTGTAGGTTCATGAAAGAGAAGATACTGGAGAAGTTGATGTTCTCACCAAAGGTGCCAAGTTCTTGGATTTCTAGAATGATATTTATACACTCATGCACGCACAGGCACTTATTAAACCTGCAATTGCTTGTGGAATACCTCTACTAGATCCTATTGTCACCCTCTATTACATATATTCTTCCTCAGGTGATAACAATTATGGGGATGACAGGCTTTTGTATGCTCAAGGTCAGCTCTGGCTTCAGCGGCATCACATCATGGGCAGAGCTGTAGGGTAAGTGTTCCTGTCTTAACCGTACATCCTGACTCCTCTTTGTATTGTTGGTCTAACTCCACGTACTGAGCATTAGGAAGTTAGATGTCATGCTGCAATATCACCATGTCAAAGCTTCAACTAAGATTTATCTACACACATTCCCTATGTTGTTTAAACTTCGATTATTTTCTCACTCCTTTACCTGCATATACCATATTCACCGGTGCACTTGTGTGGTGCAAATCCTAAATTTGTAATTAATAACAACGAAAGATTTTGGATGTAAAAAAAAAAAAAAAAAAAGAACAAAAAAATTCGGAAGATGGTATTCTAGATTTTAGGAAGACTTGCAATCAGGTTAAGGACTGAGTCGCATCATAGTTTGTAAATGTTCTTCCTTGTCCTGTTCAATTTTTCTGTCCTAATTCTTCATAATTGGGACAGATCATGTTTCAAGAAAAAACATTTCCTTGCTTTCTATTTCTATGATTGTTAACAAATTTCTTTTTTTTTCTTTTAATATCTCTCTTCTATTCTCTTTTTTAAATCATTTGCAGATTTTTACCTTATGTTGGCTGGGTAACAATTATCATGACTGAGAAGCCTATTATCAAGGTTGGTTTTCGTATCCTCACCGGTCCCTAGTCCTTTTTCTTTGCATGTAAAAGAGAGTAATTCAGGATGTTTATCTTGTGCAGTATATTCTCATTGGCGCCTTGGGGTTGCTTGTCATAACTTCAAAGGACTAAAATGAGCAAATTCTAGGTGTGGCCTTCCTGAAGAAAGTTTTACCAGCACCGCCTGTCCTCGCCCTGAAATTTTCTTTCTTTTTTTTTTTTCCTTGTGTTTTGTGCACTAGACAGGTTAACTTTTATATGATCAATTATACCAGAAGCGTTACTTGAGTGTTCTAGTTCACTTATTAGTCTCTCCTTTCGCCTGATGAATACTTCTTTGATCAGAAATTTCACGTGCACTAGACAGGCCAACTTTTCTAATTTTTGTCAATTTGTTTGGCGAAGATACTACTCTCACACATTATGACATCATCTCTCCATATTTACATATATACCTACATATATATATATATATGTATATATGTAAAACACTCACTCATATGCATATTTTCTTTTTAACTTCACCGTTCATCCACTCACAATCCTGGCTGAAATAATGTTTAGAAAGCGTTTTATGATTTGGTTTTTAAAATTGCAATAAATTCCAGCGCATTCATATGGTTTGGTTTCGATCTCATTGCATATCCAACAATTTTTCGAATCAAGACATTCGAGTATGTAGCGTTCTAGCTCATAAAGCCCCTTGAAAAGAGAAGAAAATAAAACCAAAGTTTTCATAAATAATTCGGCTTATACAATTGAAATTTCAAATGAGATTTAAACAAAAATGAAAATCCTGGGTAATTTTCTTTAATAAATGGAAATACTCGGTAGTTTATCTCTTCATACATACTCTTTCTGATAACATTAAAATCCAAGTAAAAAATTTTTGGTAACACTAACAAAACATGAGATTTCTTTTTCTTCTTCAGAGAACAATAGAAATTTTGAGCTAGGAACAGCGATTCTAAATCCAAAGAAATAAAAGCCATCCATAGATTTTCCTTAACGTTTTTTTCTTAGAATAAAAAAAAAAACAAATAAATCCTAGTACATTTTTTAAAGGGAAAAAAAAAATCCCAACACTTTGAACCAATCAGCTTCAATGATTATAGGAGGTCCACGCTTCCATACTATAGATCCCCCGCTACACAATCAAACTCCACATCCAACACAAACGAAAACCTAAACAAAACAATACCAAAACCCCTAACAAACCCCCACCCATGGCCATGGCGGACTCTATTCTCCCTTCCCTTTTTCACACTTTTTCGCTGCTCTTCTGTAAAACCTTACTTTTATTCATATCGAACAAGAAATATCCCATTCACAGCTTTATAACTGTGCTTCTTGATCTTATCCTCTAGTTTTTGATCCTCGCTTCCTCCCATGGGCGCTGAAGATTTCATTCTATGTTGGTGCCCTAAAACCTTGATTGATTCTCATAATTTTTCCAGTAGGAAATCGATTTCTGTGGATTATCGATAATTTTCTTTCTGGATTTTCGCCGATTTTCCATCTAGTTAATGCAGTATTTGAATATCCCTTAATTTGATGGGCGGTTATGTTTCTTCAACTTGAGGAAATCCCTAGAACATGCTCTCTCTCCGGCCCATTCGCAGGTTTTGCCATGCCGCCGCCCCCGCCTCCGCCTCGGCAGCGTTGAAAGATTGTTCCTCAGCCGTGTCGAACAAGGTTTTCAATCCCAAGGAATTGGAAGAACCCGCCCTTGTTAAGCTCAAAGCCGAGAGAGACCCCGACAAGCTATTCCACCTGTTCAAGGCAAATGCCCACAACCGAATTGTCGTCGAAAACCGCTTTGCTTTTGAAGACACGGTGGCTCGCTTAGCCGGGGCCCAGCGGTTCGACTACATCGAGCATTTGCTGGAACATCAGAAGACTCTGCCGCAGGGCCGGCGCGAAGGGTTCATTGTCAGGATCATAATGCTATATGGTAAGGCTGGTATGACCGAAAATGCGATCCGTACTTTTTATGATATGCATTTGTATGGTTGTAGAAGGACTGTTAAATCTTTCAATGCTGCGCTTAGGGTCTTGACGCAGTTGCGCGATTTGCGAGCTATTGAGGATTTTGTTAGAGAGGTTCCATCCAAGTTTGACATTCAGTTGGATATATTTTCGGTTAATATTGTTGTTAAGGCTTTTTGTGACATGGGTGATTTGGATAAGGCGTATCTGATCATGGTTGAGATGGGAAAGATGGGGATATCCCCAGATGTGATCACATATACGACACTTATGTCGGCGTTTTATAAGCATAATCGATATGAGATTGGGAATGGTTTGTGGAACCTTATGGTGCTAAGAGGGTGTTTGCCAAATCTCGCGACATTCAATGTTAGGATTCAGTATCTTGTTTGTAAGAGACGAGCGTGGGAAGCTAATAGAGTGATGAGCTTGATGCGAACCCTTGGTATTGCACCTGATGAGGTTACATTCAATTTGGTGATCAAAGGGTTTTGCCAGGCAGAGTACTTTGATATGGCGAAAAGGGCCTACTCTGCTTTCCGTTCCAGGGGGTATAAACCTAACGCCAAAATTTACCAGACCATGATTCATTATCTTTGTAAAGAAGGGGATTTTGGTGTGGCTTATACCATGTGCAAAGACAGCATGCAAAAGAACTGGTTTCCAAGTGTTGACACTATTTATGAATTGCTTGAAGGCCTTAAGAAGAGTGGGAAGCTTGGTAAGGCTGAGGCAATTATGACATTGGCTCGGAAAAGGGTGCCTCCTTATCCTCGAGATAAATTGGCTGCTCTTGAATCCATATTGTCCAAGCGTTGAATTAAAGATGAGAGACTCTAGGAGAAAATTGGTTATCTAATGTAACTGGGAGGCTCAACTGGAGCCGGTACTCTTTTTACCCATTTTTATTTCTAAATTTTTCTGACTATTTGGATATTGATTTTGATGGCTTAGAACACACAAGAGTGACGAGACGAACTTATTTTCCCCTTGAAGTTAATTTGTTGTAGCACAGCAATAAAATATGTCCACTAAATGAGAATTCAGAATGGAAATTGATTACCCTTGTTTTTTGTAGTTTGGTCTGCCATGACTTCCTCTTTCTCACGCATATGTTTACCCATGAAATAGAGAAGTTAAAGGTTTATAATACAAAAAGGGGCTGTTGTCACCTACTTTTGAACTGTAGTAAAAGTATCATTCTTTTTAGTCTTTTCTTTTCATTTTCCTTTGGTGCAATGAAATGCCAATTTCTTTCAATTTTTAGCTTGTTTGTTCAATAAGCACATGCATTTCGAGGGAGAGATTAGTGAAGCAATCACTCAAATACTAAATTTCCTTGTAATTCCATTTCGTAGGAGCAAATTTTATGTTTTCTGATGCAATCATGATGCGATTATCTGTCTCCGTGAACAGTAGTTACCTGTAAAGAGTCCCTCATTTTTTGTACGTGGTCATGTGTGCCTATATCCTTGAATACATTACCAATGAATCTCGATACATCACATCTACCTTTCTGTTTCAGGTGGTTATTTGATCATAGTTAGTTTCTAGTATCAATGTTTTGTTCTGTTTCAGCTTGATGGTCAAGAACAGAAGGGTCAATGGAATTACTACAAAGTCATCCTTTTCTGGCATCAAGAAAATTTGGTAAGTTCAATTATTCTGTGTTTATGTATTGCTTTACCCATGAAATAGAGAAGTTAGAGGTTTTACTGATTTTGAACATATCTATATTATCTTTTTGTGGTAAAATTGTATGGAGATGATAATTCAATTATCAACCTTTTAAGCTTGGAAGTTGATGATTCAATGTATAATGACGCTGCAGGATACAGAGACATCATTTTTTGTCGTCTTATCAATTCAACACGGTAAATGATGAGTTCGTATAGCTCTAATTCAAAGTTGTTATCGTGACTTGTGATTGAATCTGTTGGTATTGATCAGCTGTTGAGGAATATCGTTGGCTTGGACGATTCTTTGGCAAGAAGGCAGCAAGCTGGAGAGTCGCACGATTGTTGTTACCATATGCCAACAAGAAATTGATGAAAATGTCGCATGAAGCCAAGTCGCGAGATTATGAGGCTCCGGAGCTTGTCTTTCCTGTCCCTTATCAAATGCTGTATTTCTCCACATATCGTGTTGAAGCTCTTTGTAAGGCAGCTCTTCGCTTGTTGCTGCAGTTTCAAACGGTTAAGTCCAGAAGCAGCATTTACTAGATTCAGACTGGATAGTAGAATGCCATTTGTAATTCTGAAACGTGAGTAGAGTTGTCTCTACAACTTGCCTCCTTATACTTTGGCTTCACTTCTTTCGTTGTTGCGTTTTTGGAAACAAGAGTTGTTGGGTGTGGATAATTGTGGTCTTTGAGTTTATAGACAACACTGAATTTTGCTAGTTGTTTTAAATCTTGCTGGTTTGTATTCCCCTTTGTCGATTAACTTTGTATTGTACTTGTAGTAACATGCCAACATTAGTGCTTCTTTTTATTTATTTTTTTTGTTTGTGATATACTAACACTTGTTGATTGCTACTAATAGCTGTTTGTCCCATATATCCTCCACGGTTTTTGCAGTCCTATGTTTGGAGAAACGAGTTTTATAATCCGATTCTCAGTTAGTCAATTTTCTTCCGATTTTAGTATAGTATGCATTTTTTTTATTTTGATTTTGAAAAACCGTCATAACAAAAGTCAGGACCATATATTATTGTCGATCATTAGTGGAGTATTGAGGATGCATTCTCCTCGATAAAGTTGAGATCGAACTAATCTTATTTTAGTGAGCGGAGTTTATGATCAATTCTTGGCTGTCCCGGGGCTGCCCTGGGGTGCCCCGGGGTTGTCCCGGGGATGCCTTGGGGGTTCCCCGGGGCTGTCACGGGGCTGCCCCGGGGATGTCCCGGGGATGTCCCGGGGCTGCCCCGGGGCTGTCCCGGGGCTGCCCCGGGGCTGTCCCGGGACTGTCCCGGGGGTGCCCCGGGGCTATCCCGGGGGTGCCCCGAGGTTGTCCTGGGACTGTTCTGGGGTTGCCCCGGGGCTGACCCGGGACTGTCCCGGGGGTGCCCCGGGGCTATCTTGGGGCTGCCCCGGGAGTGCCCCGGGCTGTCCCGGGGCTGTCCCCCCGGGGCTGTCCCGGGGCTGCCCCGGGGCTGTCCCGGGACTGTCCCGGGGGTGCCCCGGGGCTATCCCGGGGGTGCCCCGAGGTTGTCCTGGGACTGTTCTGGGGTTGCCCCGGGGCTGACCCGGGACTGTCCCGGGGGTGCCCCGGGGCTATCTTGGGGCTGCCCCGGGAGTGCCCCGGGCTGTCCCGGGGCTGTCCCA